GCACGGGCGCGTTATTGTTTATCATTTATCACTCTCAATCTGATTAAAAAATGAACAGCTACCACTACATAAAGCATTAGTATTACAAGCTGTTTTACGCATGCGCCTAACTAACCGCTATAAGACTAAAGGCCTATATAAAACGATTTTTTTTCGGTAACGCTACGAAGCGGGGTCCGTTGTACCGCTCCGTGCTCGCTCCCTCTGCCAGGGCCAAATGGCCAGCAACCCAAACCAAACCAGCCACCCCACTTATTCCCTCCCTCTCTCTTACACGTGGGCCTAAACGTTAACTCCTCCTAAACGTTAACTCCTCTTCTCCTTCCTCCAGACGAAAAAACACAGTCGTTGTCTACTGCTTCCTGCACCCGCTCCTCAACACGGTCCACACCGACTCCCCGCCACCGCCCACCCCAATGGGCTGCCTCCGCGCCGCTGTCCCCGTCGCTCCTCATGGGCATCCTCTCCGACCTCGCCGAGATCTCGGCTCCTTCCGGCTGCCGTGTGTGGCTAGGCGGCTAGGAGAGGAGCCGTCGCTGGCTGGGCCAAGCCAGGTGTAGGCGCAGCTGGCCACTGCCAGGCAGTGCCACCATCCTTGGCCATCAGCTGGCTGGAACTGGCCGTTCCCTGCTCTGCTCTGTGTCGTCCGGAGGAACGATAAGGTGAAAAATGCATGTTGCAAGCGTATGTTTCAAGTATTTCAGTTTCAGAGGTATGTTGTAAGTGTTTCATATGGATGTTGTAAAAGTAGATCGGGGTGTTTTGCAATGGTTGTGCACGTATGCTACAAACTTCTATTCTCAATGTTTCATATGTTTTTCCAGACGTATGTTGCAAATGTGTTTATTTGGATGTTGCATATGTTTCACACATATGTTGCAAGTGTTTTATTTGGATGTTGCGTATGTTTTACAATAGTTTTCAAGTGTTTTTTATGTGTTTTTGTAAGTGTTTTAGATACATGTTTCAAGTGTTTCATCTGCCTTCAGATGTATGTTGCAAGTATTGCATCAGGATGTTTCAAAAGTAAATCGGGTGTTGCATCTCCGTCCTTGCTTTCTGTTGTCTCGCCTTGGTGTCTCCTCCTCCTCCCAGCGCCGGCTAGGTATCCGCCGTCCCTCCCCATCTTCTCAATGCTGGTGATGTTCGGGGCGGTGCGGGCCTCGCGTGGGCCGCGAAACAACATGGGAAACAGACTACAGGTGTGGGCGTCCGGACGCTAACAAGCCTGTTTTTTTACATCAAAGGCTTTACCCGTACTTATATTGAAAGCAGCCAGAAAGGTTATTGGCTAGTTTTATATAGAGATAAAGTCAGACCGACAACCCCAAATAACTCAATGACACCAACTCTAAGGCCCCGTTTGGATCTCATGGTTTAAACTTTAGACCATTTTAGCTCTTGAGGCTCCAAACAGGAGGTCTAAAGTGCTGTCTAAAGTTTACACCGCATGACAAAACTTTAGACCTCAAAAGTGAGCTAAATGGTCTAAAGTTTTTAGTCCTTATAACTTTAGCCACTAAACTTTAGACTAGATAATCCAAATAGACCCTAAACGCACCTCCAATAAACCTAAACAGAGAAAACTTCGATATTATTACAGGTTTACCAAACCACCACAAATAGCAAGCAAACAGCCAACACCTAAGAAAACCCGAGAAACAAAAGAAACACAGAGAACTACAGCTCCAGAGCTAACTAAAGATTACTGCCAACACTGATACGAGTTAAGCCTTCATCTTCAAAAACACAACATCGCCACATTTACTGGATGACTTGTTCTTGTTGCATCTTCACGCACATTTCACCAATTTGATAGGCCTTCGTTCAGCTTCCTCAGCAGTTCCTCCACCTTGTCCATGTCTTCCTTCCTCGCTAGGATCTGCCATTGTTTTATGAAACCATAGGCATTGTAAGACACTTGCTTGGGTGTTTTAAGGATTTTTTTTTTTGAAAAAAACTAAATCATTCCTCGTCTTCCAGGGAGCCCACCTCTGGAAACGGTTGGCTTAAGACAATCTTCCCTAGAAACTTAACTTTCTCTAGAAATAGAGTAAATTTCGCTATTAGTCCTTGAACTTGTTCCGAATTCTCATCTAGGTTCCGATACTTTCAAATTGCAAAACATTCAACTCCCTAAACTTATCTTGAGTTCTCATTCAAGTCCCTGATACTTTTAAATTGCACATTCTGCTCCCTAAACTTATCTCGAGTTCTCATCCAAGTCCCGGTCTCTTAAATTGCATATTCAGCCCTCTAAACTTATAGTATTGTACCATCTTGATCCATCCCCATCCCCCACACTGTGTTGCATGTGCCCACCACACTCGTGCGCCCCACACCGCACTACATCATGTTCATCCACCCATAGTGGTGTACTGCACGGGGGTTGGGATGTGCGGTGGGAGCTCACGAGGGATATGCAAACCTTGACATATGTTTTCATAGGATTCTCAACGAACTTTTCATTGGCTCATACGGGTCAACCATCCTTTTATGGGCACACAAGGAATTCTCTCTTCTCTTCCCCATCTTGCAGGAGCTATACTCACCCTCCCCATCTCCTCACACTAAGTTCCCCACTCTCTCAGCCTTCCTCACCTGCCTCGGCAACGATAGGGCCCGAGGGCCGTCACTATAGCGCAGTAGGATGAGTGTAGCGCATGGCAAGGTGGCGCAAGCGAGCATGGCATAGCCTAGCGTGGCAACATGTGTATGGCACCACACCAACGATGCAACATAGGTAGGCGCGGGGTAGTAAAGCGAGCATGGTGCAATGCTACGTGGCTATGTGGGTAAGGCGGGCATGTGTGGTGTGGCGGTGGTGAGGACGGTGGTGCAAGACTGGATGGGCCATAACGGTACAATAATACAACTTTAGGGACCTGATTGTGCAATTTGGAAATAACATGACCGGGATGAGAACTTGAGACAAGTTTAAAGAGCTGAATGTGCAATTGATAGTACCGGAATCTGGATGAGAACTCGGGACAAGTTTAGGAAGCTGAATATGCAATTTTAAAGTATTAGGACCTAGATGAAAACTCGGGACAAGTTCGAGGACACCTAGGAAAATTTACTCAAAATAGATTTATTGGGACAGTTGCAAGCACGCATCTAAAAATGCTAGATCTTTATAATCGATAGAATAGTAGCCTTTTTTTAAAGCTGGCTCTGATAACCAATTTTGACTGGCCTAAAAATCGTTTGTGCAGTAGTAATTGCCATCTTTTACATCGCTCAAATAGGATTGGGTTTTAATTTGAAATTTGTTCGGAACCACAATGTTACCATTTTTTTAAGGAACAGGAGGGGCGAAGCCCCTACTGAATGCATTAATATAATGAAAGGGAAACAGGAGTGGCAATTACAGGATCTCCTTAGGAGACGAAAGAGGTGAAAGAAAAATAAAAAGAAGAATCAATAAAAAGAGTTTATCCATAAAGACAAGGAGGGTCGACATCTTGACTTGACCCTGTGCAACAAGGTTAATTGAAGCTTGCTTTGCACTTGGACATACTCGGTTGCAGGTTTCTGAAAATTAGATCATTTCTCTCCATCCAAATACTCCAGCACAGCAGTGTGAAAAGTTCCCTGAAGAACGGTCTTTGAATCTGGTCCTTGAAGAATTCAAGTGTCAAAAGAGTGTCTGAATTTGATGTGATTTGAAAACCAATGAGGTTCCAGAAGGTAGGTGCAAATGGGCATTGAAAGAAGAGGTGATCAAGTGTTTCTTTTGTCGACTGTGAGGAAAGGACACATTCAAAACTGTCTAAATGCATCTTTTTTCGTCTGAGGAGATTCCTGGTATTTAGTCTCATTTAGTAGAAGCTAAAAGAATACTTTGTGCTTAGCTTGAAAGGAGCATTCCCAGAGCCAAGACGCAGGGTGCACATTGGAATGACCAGATAATGCCTTGTAAGCTTTAGAGCAAGAAAATTGTGAAGATCCCCAAATATATGTCCAGCAGTCCTTGTTGCTTGTGATGTTAATGTTTTGGATGCAAAGTTGGAACTGATGCAGCTGTGCAAAGGCTTCCGGAGAAAGAGGGAGGTGGAAGAGACCAGAAAGGTCATCCCTTGAGTTTGCAGAGTGAACAGTGATAAATTTGTTTCTGGCAAAAGAGTTGAGGTGAGGAAATTGAAGATTTAACAAATTGGCATTCTACAGATCATCCGAAGGGAAGATGCCTTTTCCATCAGCCCCTGTGACTTGAGCAAAACCTTTATAAGAATCCACAAGTTTTAAGATATGTCTCCACCAAAATGATCCTTTCATTGTGGAGTTTGGGAGTCTACCATTGGAATAGTGCTTTTCCCAAATAAGTTTGACCCTTGGCAGCTCTCTTCTGTTGTAGAATTTGTCCAAGTTCTTCATAAGTAATGCTTCATTATGAGTTCTGAGCTTCAGAATTCCCAATCCACTTCCTCCTTGGATTTGCTTTGGGAGGGGTTCTACCATTTACTTCTTCCCCTCTCTACCATTACGACGTTACCTTACCTGTATAGATGGGGGATCTCTGGAAACTTGTAAGTATGATTTCGAAGAAAGTTTTCAAGTTTTCACCGATATGTTCTAGTTTTCACCAGACATGCTTCGAATCTAAAAGAAAAAGAGAAGTGCGCGTCCTGTTACATGTGCGGTGCTCTGGTGGCTCAGTGAATCCTGAAGCCTCAGGGAAAGCTACCCTGAACACAAGCTGGGATCTTTTTATGGAAAAAAATAAAGATCGACATGAACAAAGAATCGAAGGAAGGCATAAGACACTTTGCTTCTTTAGACAGTTTAATTTCTCTATCCACAAAACTGCATACCTCAGCTGGAGGACAACAAATTCTCCTGTTGCACTTATACTTTCCTCGCTAGCTTTATTCTGTGAGTTAGCAGTCATATATATACATACAAAGCCACCGTAGCCCTTCGTTTACTGTGTATGCAATCGCTCCTCCCACAACTCCTCTCATCAGACAAGAACCCGAGAATAGACGACGCTACTCGGCATGGCGAAAGTGACTGGTGCCGTTATTGTCTGCGCTGTGGTTCTAGCCCTGGATATGGCTGCCGGAATACTAGCAATTCTGGCTCAGGATGCGCGAAACAAGGTGCGATTATTGCAAAATTATATATTTATAACTTTTTTTTCCATGTTTTGATCCGACCCCTGCAATTAAAAAGATCTTCATGTGCTGAGTATAAAAGAGTTTGAGCTGATATAGTCGTTTTTCACTCCTGACGATTTTGGCATTCGGCGTTGTTGGCAGGTCAAATGCGATGTACAAGGGTACCGGTTGGGCATGGCCGCGTCGCTGCTCTTTATAGCTGCCCATTTATCAGCCAACATATCTGGCTGCCGCGACTGCAACTGCAACTGCAGCTGCGCCTGCTGCTGCTACAGCTACAGCTGCCGGCCACAACTGAAGGACATCCGGGCATCCATGAGTAAAAGGATGAATTTGACGATTACATGGGTCTCATTGTATGCTCATCTTGGACATTATTATTCTTATGTGTGCACACACTATATAAAATGGCACTCCTAGCTAGTACTATGATTAGGACAGATAATTAAATAATAACTGCTGGACATGATGCATGCGCTTGTACCTCGTAGGGCCGTGTTCCTCGTCGGAGGCGTGCTGCTCGTCGCCGGGACCAGGTGGTGCGGGTTCGTGCACGGCCATGCCGTGGGCATCGGAGCCATCCTGTGCTTTGTTCATAGCGGGATCATCATTGGATTTTACATGCCCGCCATCATCGCCGGCTGTTGTCAGGCCCCTCAAGAACATCCTTAGCCAGTCGGCAACGAATTATTCCTTCCTCTTATATTGTTGTTTTGTGTATTTCCGTGCATGATTCGACTTTACTGTTTCTAATTTCATGGAAGCATGTGTCCAAGGAAAAGAATACGGTTTGAGAACTGTGTCTGTGTTTAGTTATAAATTCTTGATTAGGGATGGATCCGGGTCTCTAAACATCCGAAAAAATCCAATATTCGTATCCATTTTATCGACAAATATTCGATTTTAATATGAAAGCTAAATAGATGAATTCGTATTAGTTGTCTATAATTCTTCTCTATCTATTTTCAGATCTGTATTTCATAAAAATGTGAAATATCTAATATTATCCATATTCATGAAAAACAAAGTACCATCTAAAACTTATATTTATAACTAATTAATTAACAATGTAAATGACTATTATTTTAATATAACTTATTTAAACTATTTAAAAATTATCTCTAGGCTAATGGCTAATCATAAAGGTTTAGTTTAATTTATAATAATTTTAGAACTTATATTTACGATAACATAAAACCATTAAAAAGTTATATTATGATAGTTTTAATATTATAAATCAATGATATGTGAAGGTTAAGTTTAATTAACTCTAATATGATTAATCATATGTACTTTAGTTTATTATGTATATTCAAACATTCATCTATGCTTTTATTGATTTTTTATATATATTATAATTGGACTCTTTATTAATATATATATGTTATCTACACTAATATTAATTTTTAAGCAAATCTATATGTTATCTAAAAATTTAGTAGATATCCGAATACGAACCTGGATTTGAGATATATGTTTTGTATTGTATTTGTATTTGATAATACCCATATTTGTACTCAGATTGGAACTAAAATGTAGTATAGTTCTATCTAGATTCGATTCCATGGGAATCCAAGCAGGGTCCATCTTTATTCTTGACAAACTGACTGTTGATGGTCACTATATAAACCCCATGTTTGACCATCAAATCCCACCAAAGTGAAGGTAAAACACACCACAAGTAGCAAATCTTGCTTACAAATGACCTAGTTCCACTTGTACTTGGAGAAGTATGTGATTGCAAGAAATTTTGGTGAAAATCCATCAAATTCAAAAGAAGGCAAGTGGACATGGCAAGGAGGGTTTGGGCCCACTTGGTGGGGGTCGGCCAACCCCACCTTATGTCGCCTGACACCCTATGTGGCCCCTACCATGTCATTGATCCGGGGGAGAGCAAAGAAGCACACCTAGGAGCCCCACAACTGATGGTTTGAGTCGGTGGCATCCAAGGTTTCGGATGGGCCTCACATGGATTGGAGGGCCCACCGTCAACCATCAACAAGGAGCTCAACCGACATGCCAACCGCCTTAGGACACATGCAACCGCCATCAGGGAGACATCCATCGCCGTTGGATCGGAAGGTGGTGGATCCAAGGGGTCAACCGATGCCCTAGGCATCGCCTAATGCCCCCTCTCCACCGACAATCCACTCACTTCTACAAGTACCCTAGCTCCTAAACACTATAAATTGGGGTGTTGAGCTATGGGGAAGGCATCACTACCAAGAAGCAACACTTTCTAGTGAAGATCAAGCTCATCCGTGAGCTCTAATGTAGTAGCTAGGCTAATAGTGAGAATAGGGTTAGAGTGGAGCTTTTCTTGGAGTGTGAAAGAGTCTTCTGGGTCTGGTATAGCCCTTGTACTTTCCTTTATGTACCTTTCCTATTGTATACTTACTTCATTTGGAATATATTTCTACTTTGCTCAAGTACTTAATTAGTCCAAGCTTACTTACCTAGTTAAGTGTGTTCTAGAGCACATGGGCTACGGTGCCGCTATGTATGGGTGAGGCAGGGATTCGGGGTTTTCTCGACCTACATGAGAATGTCTTATTCTTAATGCAATGCCTAGGGGCTGTATCTTACCCCCTCGTGTTTTTTATATCTTGGTTAGTGTGGTTTTCTCTTGTACAGGCTCCACCTTCTGGTTATGGTGCTTTGATCTCATTTCACTAGAGCTCGGATCGAAGTATTGAGTTTATAAATTAAGTGTGGTGCTTAGGCTATATCTTGCCTGTGGATATGACTAGGTCTCCGGATAGTTAGTGGCCATTGGTGGCAGGTGGTGAGAGCTTTGTCCACCCTATGTATTCCACCACGATAGGCCTAGTTCTTAAATCATAGGGCTGGTGGCAATTCCGTCTAGTTAATTCTTTTGGGTTGACTAGGCGGGTTGTACCCCGAAGTGCTTGACAGCCCCCTCTAGTCTTGGTTTAGCTGAGTTGCTAAGTTTATTTCTAAGTTGTGCTTGGTAAGTAGAAGTTACATAGGTCTCCTTTTGCTCACTCTTTCCCACTAGTTATGCCACTGCTCCTAGATTTATCTGTCTTCTTAAGTGATCAAGTTATCCTTATCTTATCGTCCTTAAGGCAACATGTGCATAGTCGTATTACCCACGACTAAGGTCGTGCAATTGCTTGAGAACTTAGTCCACAAGAATCTCTATTTTTCACTATCTTGGCCATAGGCTTTCCATGTGGCAAAATACAAATACGACCCCAGAATACTCCTATGAGAAATGCTACATCAAAATTTTCTATGCGCTTGCGGAAATCTCCAATAGTCATAAGAAATATTAACAAGCATTTCTGGCGCCGTTGCTAGGAAAGGCAATTGGCCCAAGATATTGATCAATAGATTTCTTGTGACTAAACGTATCAATCAATTGATCGTTCTTTAGCGGGCTTATCTTGTGCTATGTTCACTCTTCTTGCAACAAAGTAGTGCATGATTAGTTTTGACTTGCCAAGTAATTTCCAAGAAGATACCGAGGCACTCTTGAGAAGGGTTCGACCTTGTTCTGTCCCTCCTCAACGAACTTTGTCGACATCCGATCCCACATTCCTTCAAAAGCTTCCACCACCCAACGCTACCATGGCCACCAAGACCATCCGTGAGTTCTCCGCTCCCTCTGCTGCTAATTTGGCCACAGGTCCGAATGTTATCAACTGGGATGGGAACTTTAAGTTGAAGGCAGCGTTGATCACGATGGTGTAAACTAGCCCCTTGTGTGGGAAAGCCGATGAGGATCCAATGTACATCTCCAACACTTTTCAGGTCCAGTTTAGTTTATAAACCAGGTCAATTTTTTTTCTTAAGTGAACTGCAAGAGCTTCCTTCCCTTCTCGGAGATGTTCTTAAAAAAACATATTTTACTACAAAGCCAATTTCTTCTTGTTAGGTTATCATTTGTGAGGACAACACCTTTTTTTTAATACCACATAAAAAAATTATTTTTTAGCGGTATTTTCATTCTCCAAATTTCATTGTTAGGTAGCCTGAAATTGTTGAGAAGAAAGTTATACATAGATGTGATGAGCTCTGGAAACTTGTAAGTATGATTTCAAAGAAAGTTTTCAAGTTTATTTTCACCGATATGTTCTAATAGTTTTCACTAGACATACTTGTAAAAGAAAAGAGACACGAGCCTCCTGTGCTACATGTGTGGTGCTGGTATGTGGTAAAGCCCCAGGGAAAAGCTACCCCATAAGATGTTTTGTTTGGATGCACGTGTATCCACCTCAATCCACATGTGTTGGAGTGGAATAGAATGGAATTTAGTTCAATTACACTTTAAGCCACTTCAACACATGTGGATTGAGATGAATACGTACGCATCCAAACCAGGCAAGTAAAGCTGGAGATGAATAAAGAATCGAAGGAAAGCATAACACACTTTGCTTCTTTAGACCGTTTCTCTTATCCACAAAACCGCATATCACAGCTGGAGAACAATTTCTCCTGTTACACATATGCTTTCCTCGCTTTATTGTGTGACTCAGCAGTCATGTTCATATACATACAGAGCCACCCGTAGCCCTTTCTTCGCTCATTGTATGCCATCGCTCCTCCCACAACTTCTCTCGTCAGACAAGAGGAAGACGCTATATACACGGCATGGCTAAAGTGGCTGATGCCGTTATTGTCTGCGCTTTGGTTTTAGCCCTGGATATAGCTGCCGGATTACTAGGAATTCTAGCTCAGGCTGCGCGAAACCAGCAGGTGCGATTGCAAATTTATATATTTGTAACTTTTTTCAGGTTTTGTTTATTAATCTAGGCAGGTATTTCCTAATTAAGGCAATATAATGTGGCTGGATCACAATTTGGATCTGTGTGCAATACATGTATGAACTGGTGATGATGTCCGATTTCTGTTGGCAGGCGGTGAAAAATTGCAAGGATGTAGTTCAAGGGTACCGCTTCGGCATAGCCGCGTTGGCATATTCGCTTGAACTTATCAGCTAGAATCTACAGTATTTTTCTCTCACAACAAATTAGTTTCAGCCGACTTTAATACCAGCCGAACAGGCCCGCCGTAACTGGCCGCTGCGACTACATCTGTCCACAGCTGAAGGACATCCGGGCATCCATGAGTAAAAGGATGGATTTGCAGTTTACATGGACCTCATCGTATGCTCATCTTGCATGCACATTATTATTCCACTATAAAATGACACTCATAGTACTGTATATGATGATTACGGCTAATGACATGATAATAACTGCTGGACATGCATGCGCTCGTAGGGCCGTGTTGCTCGTCGGAGGCGTGCTGCTCATCGGTGGAGCCAGGTGGTGCAAGTTCGTACACGGCCATGCCGTGGGCATCGGAGCCATCCTGTGCTTTGTCCATACCGGGATCATCATTGCCTTTTACATGCCCGGCATCATCGTGGGCTGTCGTCGTCAGGCCCCTTCTCAATAACATCCTTAGCCTGTCGGCAACGAATATATGCATGGTTTGTCTTTCGGCACATGATTCGACATAATTTTACTGTTTCAAATTTCATGGAAGCATGCACTTCTCTGTCGTGTCGAAGCATAAGGGTCGAAGCATAAGGATAATGATAAGGTTTTAGTTTGGTTACTGTATCTTTGATAGATATACTTTGAGTTTTTTTTCGAGATTACACAGTACAACTATGAGCACCTTCAAAGTCTGGGTCGGTA